CGGTGGGTGAGCAACCAATTCGAATCGTAATTGGTCCAATTTGACCATCGCTTTCAAGGACGTGTGTGACGGTGCGTTATCGTGATGGTACAGAACTTTTTTCTTCGCCATATGGGGCCGTTTTTTCTTTATTTCGTCGTTCAGTTTGTCCAATAACGCTGCATAATACTCTCCCGTAATTGTTCTTCCCTTCTGCAGGTAATCGATGAAGATTATGCCATGCGCATCTCAAAAAACAGGCCATAACCTTCCCGACCGAGCGTCTTTTGGCCTTGGTCGGCTTTCGTGGCTTTTCAGCCACTCTGCAGACTCCCTATTGGACTCAGGCGTATGGTAATGGACCCACGTTTCATCCATCGTTACAAAACGTCGAAAAAAGTCCGCTCGATTACGTTGCCAAACCGACCGTTGAATCATCAACGCGCTGCTATTTTTGGTCGATGGTCAGCAAACGCGGCATCCATCGTGCCGATAGCTTTTTCATCTCCAAAATCATGCAAAATGTATCCCGCCCATTCTTTTGAGATGCCTACGGCCTCAGTTAACTCGCGCAACTTCACTTTACGATCACTCAAAACGATTCGATGCACTTGCTTTGCGATTTCCGCATTCGTAGTCTCTTTTGGCCTTCCAGAGCGAGGTGCGTCTTCAGTGCTTGTACGACCCATTTTAAATTCACTAAACCACCGATAAACTGTTGTTCTCGAAGGAGCAGATGTGGGATAACATTTCTGCAACCATTTCAATGATTGTTCAGAAGTTTTTTCCATCAAAAAACAATGTTTGATCAAGATGCGATATTCCTGTTTTTCCACTTTTTTTACGAAGGCGAAAGTAAGGCCACTTAAACGACTGTAGCTTGTAAACGAATGAACGAAATGTCATGAAACTTCATACATAAACTAGTGACAAATGAATCTCTCGAAATGAATCATGTTTATTTTCTAGTGGCATCACCTATTGAAAAATCCCGGGACTTTTCAGCCCATGTAGTATATTATCTGATTTTCCATTCTTAAAATTATTATTTTATGCTTAGGAAGATTTACAATTAGTTAAGTCGAGACATTCATATTAATTTACTATTCTTTATTCATTCATTTAGAATAAATTTATTTTTTAATTTTTTAATTGGAATGTTTATTGAGCATTGTCTTTTCTTACAAGTGTATCGAGTTTGATTAATTATTAATATGTAATATATTCAGATACACACACATACACACACACACACACACACACACACAGTCCCGAAAGTTTTTACCAATCGCTTTTATGTAAATGGAGCGGACTAAACTGAATTCAAAAATCCTCTACCCACAAATATTATTAAAAATTGCCAAATATCATTATTAGTCTTGAATAATTTTTTACTCAAATACTATCAACTTTATAGAAAAGTTGCAAGAGACAAAAATCATTTATTTTCTTCTCATAAAGTTCTGAGAATTTTTTCAGAATTTTTTAATATCATATTTCCTCATGTTGGTAAAAAT